GCGCCGTGGTCTGCTCCCTCAGAGCCGCTTCCGAATGCGCAAACTCACCGAAGATCTACGTGAGTCTCAAGAGGCATCATGTTTAGAGGAAATTGTTTTTAAAAAGGAAGAAACTACTCTCTCTTTTCCTATATGTGGGAAATTGCCTTTTAAAAGACACATAACGAAACACAAGAAGATTCACGGTGTATTTGAGTAAACATGTCGAGCCCTTGGCTGGGATTTGGCATTAGGTCTTTAAAGAAATGGGTAAATCAATTTCACATACCAGTGTGAAAAACCAAGGCTTTAAAATATTTACTGCGATTTAGTTCTAGGTTACTTGCAGATAATTAACTGTGTGGCGTTTCTGTTGTCTTATTTCCTGCAATTTAGCCTCTTTCCCCAGCTCCCTTGGTAACATTTTCATTCAGTGTGCATTCCCCAAACCTTACTCACCGTGTGCTGGTTACATGGCCAGAAGAGCCTCTCCTGTCTGCAGTGCCTTTTAGAGCAGAAGCCTTCCGAGGCCAGTGCTGCTCTGTAACACGGAGTATTCATTCATTTATCCAATGAACGCATAAATTTTCCTACCCACAGTACTAGTCAAACAGCCTAAAATATTTCCCTTTTAATAGTGCATGTCGCCACATAGTGATGATAAAGTGGGCCCACAGCAAAGGAGACATACATTACCTAAGTATATCTAGAACCAAAATAATGTGAATTCTAACAATAGGTTGCAGCAGATGGCCTGCCAATAATAACCAACGCCGTCTCTTCTCACCTTTTCGTATAAGAAGTAACTAATAAACAACATTTAAATTTGCTTCTTATCAGTAAGAGAAAAATGAAACAAAGGAAGGTGGCAGTCAGTGCTTTCTGCAGAATGACAGACTTCATGAGCTTTGAATTGGGATGTGACAATAAAAACAATTTTCATGTATCAGAGCTGGCTACTTAGAGGGCCGGGAAATGAAAGCTGTGGAAACGCAAGAAGAAAATGTTTAAATCCTAATTCATTAAGTTGTTGGCAGTATTCTGTATATGTAACATGGCCAGAGTTTAAATCACTGCAAATCTGAGGCATCTGTGACCAAAGTCTTGGCCTGTACCGTCCTTTGGTGTAATACATGTGGTGTGTTTCTCGTCTGTTATTTCTTTGATTGACCCATTGACTTTGAGCGGTGTAAAAGGATGAACATTGGTTATCTCACAGTTTCTAGGGCTCGGGAATCTGGACACAGCTTAACTTGGTGCCTGTGGCTCCAAATCTCTCACAAGGCTGTAGTCAGTGTCCTCCAGAACTGCCTGAACAAGAAATAAATTTTTAAAAAGGAAACAATGGCCCGGAGAATAGTTAGTGCACCTTAAATACTACACTACTGAGAGAGAAAGTCAATGATCTATCCAAATGAACTATATTATCTTACTTATAAAATTGAAAGGAGTACTAAGAATATTTTAAACAGATTCCTGGGACACCATGAATTCTAATAGGAAAAGTAGAGGCATAGATTTTTTTAAGTGATTGATATCCAAAATCATTTCAACTTGCCCTTAGAAGGCAGTGTGTCACATAAGCTAACCTCTTCCTCCTCTCCCACCCACAACAAGCCTCTCCCGATTAGTAACCAGGAGGCCTCCCTCACTCACAGGCTGAAGACGAGATAGGCTTTTTCCCTCCACTTCTGGGTGCAGGGCAGCTGTCCTGCTTCTTCCGTTCTTCTCACTCTATTCTCTGGCCCCTTGACCACCTACCTCCAAGATCCTTCCCACCTCTGATTTTTGCATGAGTTGGCCCGGTGTGGGGCCGTTCTCCCAGACCCATGTTCACTTTATGTGTTTGGAACTTAGCCATCCTGGGATGTTATCTCCAGAAGCTCTCCCTGAGACCCGCACTCACACTGGGTCAGGTTTCCCGAGTCCCCTTATACGCTACACTTTCCTCCAGGACCCTTACCGTAACTGACAGTCACACACTTGTCTATATGATCTGATTATTATCTTTGTCCCCAGCTGGTCCACACTTCTGAGGAGGAAGGACTGCATCTGTCTGAGAGCTCATTACCTCATCTTTATCCGGGGCATGCTGACACTGGGTACCTAATCAATGGGCTCCACGCTCCCTGTCAGTTACCTAGAACTGTCCTAAACTCTGATCATTTAGGAGAAAGCAAGTGTGGGTGCCCGTGCCTAAAACTTTTAAAAATTAAAATGCCTAGGACAGTCTAAAAGTTCAAATAGTGATAACTCCTAATTTGCACTGTTTCCTCCTCTCTGTAGAAAATCTTCTGGCCAGGATAATCTCACTCCCTGAAATTATCATTGTGCCAAGTTGGGATGTTTATTATGCCCCTTCCAAAATTCATGTTGCAATCAAATCTCCAAAGCAATAGCATTAAGAGGTGGAGTCTGTAGGAAGTGGTTAGGTAATTAGGGCTTCTCCTCCCTGGTGGATGGGATTTAGGCTCTTATAAAGAAGGCTGCACACAGCAGACACACTTTTCGCCCTTCCGTCTATTGTAGAAACACAGTTAAGGACGCAGCCCTCAAGTTGCCATCTTAGAAGCAAAGGCAGGGCCTTCACCAAACGTCAAACCCTCTGGCGCTCTGATCTTGGACTTCTCAACCACAGAACTGTGAGAAATAGATTTCTTTTATTTATAAAACATGTTTCCTGGGTTTTGTTGCAACAGCACGAGTGGACTGACACACCCCTTCTGTTACTCATTTCTTTCTATCCTTATCCGTTCATCTTTGCTCCTTTTCTGCCGTCAGAAATAGTAAGAGGAAATTGGAGGTAGCATCTCCCTGAAGTCCACCCACCAGGACCAGGCATTTACATCGAATTATTTAGTTCTCACTGTACCTTCTGGAATCCTGGGACTTTTCTTTTCATAGGAAAGTAAACTGCTTCCATTTTGTATTATCTGTTTATCTGAATGTTCCTGTTCTTGTTACAGATAACTGTGACCTGGTCACACATGGACTTCTCTGTTTAAGATTTTGTGGAAATGGGCCTTTCCAAGTATGTGGTGTCTTCTCAAACCCAAACTCTCTGAAAATCAGCAAGAGCTAACTGCACCCCATTCACATGGGGACTATGAGTGCTCTATGATTATTTTTAAACTGATTATTTCTCATTCGTTCATTTGTTCAGCAAATATGTATGGGTGACAATCTTTATGCCAGGAATTGGTCCATGATCCCGTGTACAGTGAGTGTCTTTCTTCAGGCTAAAGAGGTCACAGTCTTAGCAAAAGCATCTTGCTTCTACTCAGAAGAGGGTTAAAGAAAAGATATTTTCATGTCAAAAAATAAAATGATCTTCAGAGCATTTTACCTGTTCAGGAATGGTAAAAATTACCAGCACAGCCTTTAAGGATGTGATACTCGGGAGGAAGCAGCGGGGCGCCGAGGTGAGGCTGAATTCCCACGGGCACCCACTTCAGTGTGTGCAGAGGTCGGAAGGTCTTCCCACGAAGATCTGGGAATGAGAAATGACAGGTGCTCTTCTTTCTGGAAAGTCTTACATGTGGTTATAACTACAGTCCCATCAGAGGGCCGACAAAACACTTTTGTAGAGTTTTCCTAAATTCTGCTTCCCCAAACTAAATGACCAGAAGTACCCTCAGAGAGTCCCATCTGTTTTAGGGGTCTTTGAGACCACCCACATATTTAGTGGTCAGCTAGAACCCTGATGGCAAACCTTTTAGAGACCAAGTGCCAAACTGCAACCCAAAACCCACTTATTTAGTACAAAGTGCCAACACTACTGTTAAACCAGATTATTGAGGTTTTAGTTTAGAAAAAAAAAAAACCTCATGATTAACATCTTTTGTCTTAAATGAGAAACACAGTAACACCCATGCCATAGGTTCCCCACCAGAAGGACCCATGGGACTCAGAAGGACCCATGGGATTCGGCATATACTGCAGGACCCATGAACCAGAAGGACCCATGGGACTCAGCGTATACTGCATCTGTACTCAGAGCTAAGATATTATAGCAAAAGTATGTACAACAGGAGCAGCAGGTAAAGAAGACACAGGAGAAATACCTATGTAGGCTTCTGGTGTTCCCCCAAGTGAACACCCCAAGTGTGCTCCTATCTCTACCAACAAAAAGCATATCAGCGCCATGTGATCATGGTAAACAACTGACATGTTACCTTGTACGCTATCACTCAGCACTGACATTCAATAGGTTAGGTATTAAATGCATTTTTTTAGTTATAATACTTTTAATTTCTCATATGTTTATTGGGAAATAACTCCATTGTAAGTCAAAGAGCATCTGCATGTGCCATGCTTTTGCCTGAGAAATGCCCATTAGAGATTCAGTGACCAAGGAGCCTCACACTGGGGTTTGTGCAGTAGGCACTGGTCACACTTTGTCTGGAAATTTATAAAGCTTCGGACTATAAGAACGTGGTAGATTTTCACCATAAATCACATTGTTTGTAGAGTCTAACCACAGTGAGACATTCTAACCCTTTAGAGATTGGAGTGAACAATTTCAAAAGCCAAATTCTCAGATACTAGTCAAGGGCCAAACTAATTAGGCAGACTCTTCTGAAGATAGCAGCTTCAGGCTTGCTACATTAACTTCTCTGCAAACCATTCCTTAATTTTTCTGCTAGAATATGTGTTGTTGGAAATAGGAAAGTTCATTATTACCCCTATTTGTATGTATACGTGGATAAAGAAAACGTGGTTAGAATCCATTTTAAGTAGTTCTAGCACTAGAGTTATTACTAGCCATTATCATTTTAGATAGATGCTATTAATAATATAATTTCTGTAAGTTATAGCAATTATGCTAATAGTTATGACAATATTTTCTGTGATTAATATATTATGTATTATTTCTATGCAGTATTCATATGAATAATCCATTCGATGATCTTTAACATTCTTTCCCAGATATTAGTATACTGAGGTCATGAAAATTTAAGGAAATTTTGTGTTTGGTTCCTTATTTTATTTTTCTTCTACTCTATTATCTTTCTTAACAGGGTGGACTTTCTACAGCTTGAAGGAGCATTGTGAGCATGGATTTCAGGCGTGTGAAAGAATATTTCTCTTGGCTCTACTATCAATACCAAATCATTACATGCTGTGCTGTCTTGGAGCCCTGGGAGCAATCCATGTTCAACACTGTTGTATTAACCATCTTTGCCATGGTGGTGTACACTGCCTATGTCTTCATCCCGATCCACATTCGCCTGGCTTGGGAATTTTTCTCAAAAATATGTGGCTATCACAGTACAATATCCAGTTGATCTGATTTGCACTCTGTGAAATGGCATTGCACATTTATGTTGCGTACAACTTCTTGATTTAGGTGACTACTATGCCATCTTTCACTCTCTGGCCAGAAAAGCATTCTTCTCTATGCACTCTTACATACTGCCTGGAGTTTTAGATAAATGTCTCTCTTGTTTCTTTTGTACATGCTACATTGTGCTTCAGACTATAGAAAATGCAATGCCTTTACCTCACACACCATGTTCACTCAATGAGACTCTGTCACTTTATTTTTTTTAATTAGGATGGCTTCATACAAATTTTTTTCTGGAAAATAAATTCATAAGAGACCCTACCAGAATCCCAATAAAATTCTCCCTTGACATCTATTCTATACTGAAGGATATACTACCAAAAAGAAAAAAATCCTTCGTAGGCTACTGTCAAAAGTATCCTATCCTTGTTTACAATGTATAAAAAGATGTGAATAAATTATGTTGACCCATTAAAGTCTTATTTTCTAGTAAACTGCTAATACCTACAATTATTTTACTTCTTTTAATTAAATTTACTTAAAATTCTTTTACCTAAATGCAAAAGAGCAAGCTGGGGGAAATTATCATCTTTCAGATATGGTTCATAAGTTGCTTCCAATATTTAAAATCAACAATGTTCATTTTAGATAAGCATTATCATGCATAATAAGGAACAAAATATAATCAAAGTAAACTCAGATATTGTGACTTCCGATGTTGCTTTGCCTTTGCATGATGCTGGAGGGCTGGAGAGAGAAAAAATTGTTTCTTTTCTATGCTTTCACTCAGTGCAGAAAAAAAAGCATGTATTGAGGACAGGAAGAAAAGCTAATAAATAGGCTGGAAGTAACGGTCTACCAGCAGGAACGCAACAGCTCCGGTTAAACGCTTTGATACAGTGGCTCCTTTGCAGAGCAGCAATAAAACTTATTAAATTTCCTTCAAAATGTTTATCTTAAAAGCAAATATGTTTTTAATTATACTGCTGAATCAAATGTGAATGCCAAAGACCAAGCCTTGCAGCTTTTCTTTCCTCTTAATAAATATTGTCAGTAATTCTGGAGGGGAGTAATACAAACTGGGTTGGGACAATATTTGTGCCTTTGTTTTTTTTAGGAAAAAAAAATCCGAGAGCTAGAAAGAAACAGGTTTGGCATGCCAAATTCACTTGCATGTTTGGTAAAAAGCTAACAAACACATGTTTTGAAGAGAAATCAAGTCTGAATATGTTTTTGTTGACTTTTGCAAAATAAAATTAAGTTTAATTTTATAAGTAAAATATTCGCTCTAGATTTGCTTTTACCTTATGTTATACTATTTACCTAGGTATCCGTCACATCCCCTCAATTTATCTCTTACTAGTGTAATGCTCACTGATCTTAGAATGGTAGAGTAAAACCAGCATTTACCAAGGCACTTCTCCATGCAAACACATTCCCCATGTTGAAGTGGGTATTGAGGTCTCCCACTGACAGCTAAGGACCCTAAGAAAAAGTTACATTTCTTCTTCATCGTCCATTAGGTGCTAACAGCATAGCAAGGATGCAAAGCCAGGTCAAGACCACACTGGGGCAAATATTTGCCACATGGAAGCCCATGAGAAGACAGCAGGAAAAGGAAAAGCAACAGGATGGAGGGTACCAACGTGTCACCAATTCTGTTTTCAGAATCCCATCAAATGAGAAGGGTAGAGCACGGAGGATGGCCGAGGTTGGATGAACAGGCCCAGATCCCAGTGCCACCTTCACTGCTATACCTACCGACCCATTTGCTTGCTGCTGACCCGTTTCTATGCCTCCTAAGCCCACACGCCTACCGTGAATGCTTGCTGCCGCTTTTAAGTACTTAAAAGAAGATTCTCAGTGAAGCACGAATTTGAATGCCTTCCCACCTCACAATGATCCAACACCTCTATGCACCTGCCCCCTGCTAAGTACTCTTGGAATATAATTACTTAGATACTGCTTGATCTTTTCAAAATCCTCCTTCTAAAAATAAACACGAATAGATACAGTACAGATTAATAGGGGATTATCGCAATGCACTGTTTAAAGACCACCATCACCGCTGAATAATCAAAAATAATAAAGACTACAAAAATATAATCAAACATAGTTTGAAAAAAAACTAGAAATGTGCGCCAGGAAAGAAAAGAAAACTCTCCCTGGCCGCCCTGTTCTGTTGATTTTCTAAACTTGGCAGAGATTCCCTGTCCCTTGACCGCAGATCTCCCAGGTTAGAAACACTGTTTAAGTACTTTTCCTTTGCTTCTATTAGTTGGCTATTTCAATGGTGTGTATCCAACCTTAAAAACAATAAAATCCAAAAGTTCCATGGTTCTAGTGAACTTGCAGTCACTCACTGAACTGGGAATCACAAAACATTTTTCCCTGGTGTTGGCAAAACCAGCAACTGCTTCTGTACACTTGTGCAACTAAACAAAAACAGAACAAAAATGCCAAGAAATCAGGCAGGCTTAACATAATGGCATTACTGGTGCATCTCGGGTACTTGTGGAAAAAAATCACTAGTCCACAGTTTCTACTTTTTCCATCATTAGTATTCAGGTCCTGTCACCAGTGTTCTCCTGCAAGGCAGGGATTTGTCTTTGTTTGTGAATCCCCAATATGTAACCCAGTGGTTGGTACAGGTCTGAGCAGAAACGTATCCCAGGGAATGGTGTGAAACTCCTCATATCCTGGACCCACACAAAAACAAGGAAGCTTAGTACACGTGTTGGACCAGCCTAAGAATGACAGTTTCTGGCTGCCACACCCATTCAGTCAATAAACAAATTTAGTAAAAGTCAGCTACACATTCTGTCGACAGAGCCTCTGCCCAGAACAAACACACGCACACACACACACACACACACACACACACACACACACACCACAGGTACACTTCCTGGTTGGCATAGCCCCTGCAACTAGGAACACAACAGTGGAGAAGGGCTCCCTGTCACTGAGATCAGATGAATCCTTGCTTGGATTCCCCAGAGACCCAGAGACCCGGATCAAGGAACAGGGGTGTTGGGGTGGGGCCAATTGAGGGGAAGGGAGGGAAAGGAAGGAAAGAAGGGAACAAAAAGAGTGAGGGGAAAGGGAAGAAATGTTTTCCTTTTGTTTTCTAAACTTAAACCAGGATGGTCTCACAAAGGTAAAGACAAAATTACGACAAATTTGAAAATCTAATTGACTTTTAGTAGTGATTGTAGAATTAAGCAACATGTCATCCTACAAACTGGAACAGCTGTTCCAGTGAGCTGAGAGGAAGGGCGGGGATTACAGGCAGGAAAGGTCTGAAGAAAGCAGAAACAAGAACAAAAGCAGACTGGTCTTTTCAAAGTCAATCTTCTTATGGGGTCAAGGCAGAAGGAACTTTTTTATTATGCCAACTAGGTAAATGGGGCCCCTTCCCACCAGTTGCTACAATTCTTCTAATTTTGTTTTAGTTTTTTTAACGGGGCATTTCTAAATACAGTCTGATTGTGTTGCGCCTAGCATGAGCAACTCTATCCCATTCTGGTTTGGTCTGTCGGGGCCTGAAGCAGGAGCTCAATGTAAAACAATGGCCTCCCATGAACTTTATTTAACACAAGTAAATTACAATTCTTTTCTGACTTCCTTCATCAAAGAATTTCCTTCACCTCAGGACCTATATCTAAATGTTTCACATCTTTGTCCTTATTCATACTTCTGTTTCTACTGTTTAAAATAATTCTTTTTCCAAAGATAAAATAAATCTTCGGAACAAGGAGCCCGTCCTGGAGGAAGCCCTGTGGTCTTTCCTCTAAAGCCTGTCTAGTGAGGTTCCCTCTGCCTCACTCCCCGCCGGGCCACTTCTTCACTATTTCTACATGTTTAACAACTTCATCTAGAAAGCTTGGGGTGGAGTAAGGCACTCCAGAGTCTCTTCCAATTTAAAATAAAATCTGTATTCTATGAAATTCTAGTGACTTCTGGCATTTCAGCTCTCTGTAGATTTGGAGGGCTACTGATTGGAAGCTGACCCTTCTCTGAAATGCTACAGTGTTTGTAATCCTAGTACCATCACTCTTGAGGGTAAAATAGTCATAAGTAGCAACAAACACTAAGGACCTAAAACTTCAAGTAGTAATCAGTCCTGAACGTGAGATTCAGGTGAGAAATGCAAAGGGCTTGGTTTTTATGGGCAAGGCTCCTGTCAGCCTGTATTGCAGTAACCCCTAGCCGCACCCCTTCCTCGCATTCCACTACCCCAGTTCTTATAACCCTCTTACGGCCCTCATTCTGTCTGCTCTTACGTTCAGCCTCCAGGAGAGGTTACTGTCTTTCAACAGTCTCCGTTTTCCCCACTGGATGGAAAGGGACATGGAGAAATTAGAGTTGGAGAGAGGTGGCTCGGAGGAGGGCTGGCAGTTCATGTCCCAGTGTAGCCAATAAGTAAAGCATCCGGAACTCAGCTGCCAAAGTGAAATCGAATATCGGTCTCTCCCACCTTACTAAACAAAGGCAGTAGTCAGCCCTGAGTTACATTAACTGAGCTAGAGAAAGCACCTTGCTCCAAAGGAGAGGAAAAGGAGAATCCATGGCTCACGGGTGCTACTCTGTGCCTCTTGTGTCAGCTGCCACAGCTGCTCAGGTGGCAGGAGAGCACAGGCCGTGTTCCACTTTGCTTTTTGTTTTGTTTTGCTTTTTCACACTGAGTATTCCCGCTGAAGCTCATTAAGTGGGTGAAATGATGCATTAATGAAGGCTTTTTATGCTTCCAGGTTAGAGGCACGGAATCCTATTCCAGACATGATTTGTCACCAGAATTTGTACTGAGTCAGTCACTTACAAGGTGAACTTCCAAGCATCTGCACTACCGGGGCAAGGTTCTGAGAGACGATCGTTCCTCCTCTGATGTCTCCCACCAATGCACTTCTCTCCTGCTTCTACATTTACTCTCATGTCAAGCTCCTTGATATTTTTAAATAAGAGGAAAGGAATTTTCAAAATCTGATGCATCAGTAAAGATCTGTGACTATGTTGCTCCTCAAATACTGGACTATTGGTTTTTAGCTCTGGCTGTACGTTAGAATTATCTGGAATCTTTGAAACTATTAATGCCTGATCTCATCCAGAGAAATTAAACTGAAATCTTTGGGAAGGGGCTCCAAGCATGAAAAGCTGTGCAGGGGGTTCTAGCATTTGGCCACGACTGAGAACTACTTCCCTGGACTTCTGGTGGATATTCATTAAGTAACTGGGACGCAACATGGCGCTGGATCTTTTGCTTCCTCTCCCCCACTTGCTGGGTTCTCCTACTACGTGTCTCTGTGATAAGGTCAACGCACCACTGTTGTCTAGGTACAGTCCTCACCATTACAAATACCACTTTCAGCAAAAAGTACTTAATGTCCCCATAAAAGCTTGAAGTGCTAAATAGTTAACATCATACTCCCTGCTGAATTTTGTTCCACATAATGATGTTTTCAATCATTTCATCATGCATCATTTAAGGACAGTAAAATATCACAATTTATGCTTACAGGCATGAAGCAATAAAGTACACCCAGCCTGCTGCTGATGAGCTTGGTAGAGCCTTTTCATTTGCAACTTGAGTACAAGATCATGTCACAGTAATTTGGTTAAACCAGATGGATTGCACCATCACTGCCGCTGCAGAGCATGTTAAGCAGTATGTATTTCACAGTGAGGTCCTGAGCACCTCCTGGACAAATGATTGTACCTTGCTTCCTTTTATTTTTAATCTTGCAGCCATATATCTTTAGTGTACCATATCTTTGTATGTATATATACACAAAAACATATACAACTTGATACACACATATATGCACATGATTTTTAGTCATCTAAAACTATAGCGATATAATTTGTAGCAGAAACCATCCTAATTAGAAACTAAGATAACCAAGTGATATGTCTGATTGGCAAGATAATCACAAGTTGGAGAGCGGAGTTTTGCAGCCTCTACTTCTTGCTCTGACTGGCAGTGTGCAGCCCTGGATGAGTCACTTCACTTCTCGGGCCTTATATTTTCTACTGTGAAGTGAAAGAATAACTTAGGAATGGAATGTGTGTTTTATTCCTCATTGGCTCCTCAGTTACTGACAAAGCCCCCCTTAAGGGTCATGCTATGAAGATTTCTGGGGCTACATCTGCTCACTAGAGAGATCACCATCATCAACATATCAGTGTCTGTAATAGGTCAGGAGAAGGAAAACAGAATTTAAGTTCCACTGGACCAAAAACATAGAATTACTTTTCATTCCCCACTGCAGTGGCTGGAAATCAGTAAAAACAAAATGAAAATAGCTATTTATAACACCTTAACTAATCTTCACGGCTATGTAAAAATGTGTGCATGCATATTATCAGCTTGCTTCTATCTACCCAATTAAACTTATCCTTCAACTCCATTTCAAATTTTACCTCTCCCACCAGGCCAGCTACACACCATAACAATAAATAGCTAATATTTTATGGCACGTACTCTATGTCAGACACTGTTCTAAACATTTGGCCTACGTGACATATTTAATCCTCAAAACATTCCTGCCAGGTAAATACTATTATTATCCCCGTTCTACAATGGGAAAGCAAAGCACAGAGTATTTAAGGGATTTTTTGAAGGTCACATAGCCTTGAGAGAGCTGGGAATTTAACTGAAGCCATCTGTTCCAGAGGCAATGTTTAGCCATTGAAGAAACATCCACATTAGCCATCCCATATTCCATACTTTGTTTTCTCTTGAATTCTATCATTCACTCAGTCTGTGTGTTTACAGGAGGTTAATCACCATCGTAAGCACTCTGAGACACAGACAGAATACTACTTAGGGTGAGCACCCATCCTCGCTCGTGCACCCACTGCCTTTAAACAGGATTGAGGGTGGGAAAATTCAGAGAAGGCTTCTTACAGAAAATGATGCCTGAGCTAAGTCTTAAAGGATAGAGCGATTGGCCACCTTTAAATCAGCAATTAAAATCAATTTGCTCTCTAATATTAATATTCCCCCTTGTCAATTGGTTATATTACTTGGGCCCAAAAAAACACACTTTTATAAATAGAGTTGACCATCCCTCCCCCAAATTGAAAGAAAACTTAAATTATTAGCAAAAATAAAGTTTAGGTCTGCTAAAATGTTTGTCACACACAAGGCTTAAATTTTCTCTTCCAGGCAATGTTCTTGGTCTGTTGGAAAAAGAGGGCAAGATTTAATGAAAAAAAAAATTTTATGTGTGCTGGGGATTGAACCCAGGGCCTTACTAATAATGCTAAGCACATGCCTTGAGCCACTCCTCTAGCCCAGAAGTCTTTGATTGGCAAAGGAGGAAGTATTCCAACAA